TGTCTACACCGGACGCGAGCGGCAAAATACAGTAGAAACCATTATAGTTAGTGACGCTGTGTACACTGGATGCAGCGCAGCGCGACAAACCCCGACATTAAACTGATGCCTTGTTCTATTTATGACGTACTGACACAAAGTTAAAATGATTTGCAACGGTCGCTTTGTCGCGTCAGTGTAGAGCTGTTGCGGTGCGACGCACAACTGTAGCGTCTGGTATAGACACAGTAAGTGAAGCCGAGAGCAAGATATGCCTCGTCATATTTTCTGCATTTAGCTTTTAAATGACCAGCACCTGCCTGGGTCTGTGCGACTTCATCTATGGCTTTTCTCTTCGCTTTCACAAACCGATCCATCTCCCATTCTAAGTTAACGTCCTTTGGCTGTTTATGGTTTTATTTATTTTTCTGCTGATGGCCCGCGCTCGACTTGAAGCAGCACTGCTTAGACCGATGGGTGTGTGTCATCAAAGTACTGCGAGAGCTATAAGAGAGCGGACGTCTCCTTATGCTTTCTCTCGCTCGCCATACTTTGATGTCATACACCGATCTGATCTTCAAGTCGAACACGCCTCTTTACTCTCACGTGTCACGTGACCGTGTAATCGCAGCCTCTGCGATTGAAAAATCAAACATTTTCATATTGCGATATTATCGCAAATGCAATTAATCGTTCAGCCCTATTCTGGGGTCACATGAACGCAGAGTAGGCTTGCCATATTTCTTGCCAGAGTAGGCCGCGGATGGCGGCGGGCTTGCGTGAGCCACGAACGGCAGGCTGGTTCTGGCTCGGGGCAGGACGCTCTCCAGACACCGGAGGATTCCTTCTGCAGAACTCCCAGGAATACTAGACAAAGGGGAGATCTAGGCGAGCTAAGGCGGAGAACCGAGCTGCAATTTCCATAGCCGCGTGGAAAACAAAAACTTTTCAAAAATGTGAGAAAAAGTCACCGCTCACTTTTTGTGTGGTCTGGAATTCTGTCACAGGTTGCTACTGTGAGGA